GTGAGTACATTAAAATTCATTCTATGGAAACATTAAGAGAATGAAAAGGTGAGCCAAAGAATGGGAGAAGGAATTTGTAACATACACCCGTAAAAAGGACTTCTATCTAGCATTTTTTAAGAGATAAAAATTTGATCCAGATGCATAAGACTGTACTTTTTTTGAGGAATGCAAATATTTTTGTTTGTTATAAAAGCACAGGATATTATTGAAATGTTTGGATAATGAAGATTTTTTTAACAATCCACTTCACAGTTCATTTTTTAAAAACTAATTTTATTGAGAAACAAATAGCAATGCAACAGTTTCAAAACAGGCTAGTAGGACAGTTACTCCTTCATGAAATCTTTTGCCTGAAGAAGTGCAATCACATTAGCACTTCTGGCAAATCCTAAATTACAATTTTCATGAAAGCTTTAAGTATCTGGCTTTGCTAGATTCCTAGAAACTCCAAAGCACTGACTTGTAGAGTGTACACTATTCTAGATATCTTCAGAAAATTGCTTTTATTTTGATTGAGGGAGACAACTGTGTTCATTTGTTTTTTTTTAAATTTTTTTTTATTTTTTATTTTTATTTATTTGAGAGAGAGAGAGAGAGAGAGAGAGAGAGAGAGAGAGAGAGAGGGGTGTGTGTGTGTGGCCAGCTCAGCCCACCAGGGGGCGGGGCTGGCTGGCATGTGGTGCTGGGGGATTGAACCGTGGTCCCTGATGCCTTGCCAAGCTTGTTCTAAGTAGGTGCTTTAGACCACTGAGCCATCTCTCCAGCCCTGTGTTCATTTGTTATAAACATGGGAACTTACTATAATGATTGGTTCCATAATGTTTTTTTCAGTACACTTAGGTGTTTTATACTTGGAAGACCAGTTTAAAATGATCACTCTTGGGGCTGGTGAGATGGCTCAGTGGTCTAAAGCACCTACTTAGAACAAGCGTAACAAAGCACAGGGACCACAGTTCAATCCCACAGCACCACATGCCAGCCAGCCCCGCCCCCTGGTGGGCTGAGTTGGCCACACACACACACACACACACACACACATAAATAAATAAAATTTAAAAAAAAAGATCACTCTTTTAGTTATAAAATATTTTATAATTACAAGATGTCTTTTAGGTTTTATGACCCATAGACTTAAGTTTAAATATTACATGAATTATCCCATTTATTTTTTACACATATCAACAATATGACGTTAATGTGTCAAGAATTTAAGTTTTTAATTTTAATTTTATTTATTTATTTTAAAAATTTATTTATTTATTTATTTATTTATTTATTTATGTGTGTGGCCACGCTCAGCCCACCAGGGGGCGGGGCTGGCTGGCATGTGGTGCTGGGGATTGGACCGCGGTCCCTGTGCTTTGCCAAGCTTGTTCTAAGTAGGTGCTTTAGACCACTGAGCCATCTCACCAGCCCCTGAGAAGCCTATTTTTATGTAGGGATATTTGTTCATCACTGGGCTTCAATAGATGAATATTTTTGCTACTTTTTCTTAGTTCACTGAGAATAAAAGTTTGTACTAATATTGTTTAGACAGGATATCATGTCTGCATCTTGTCCTCCGAATAACCACTATGAAGACAACAATATGCACTGTATTAATTATTGTAAACATCATACTAACCTGTTTTGAAACTGTTTCATTGCTGTTCTATCCTTTTTTCTCATTAAAATGAATAACAATTTAAAAAAGAATATGGTCTCTAGTTGTATCTATATACCTATAAAAACCTTAAGTTTATCTCTCTTTATAGCTGAGTAATAACCATTGTGTAAAAATAGCACAACTTTTTGACCATTCCTCAGTTCCCTGGCATTTGGGTTGCTTCCAAGATTTAGCTGTGAGAAATTTTGCTGCTATAAACATAGGTGCACATAAATCACTGTGCTGTGATGTTTTCAGTTTTTCTGGGAAAATACCCAAGAGGGAAATAGCTGGGTTGAATGAAATCACTAATCCTAGTTTTTGAAGACGTTCCACACTGATTTCCATAGAGGTTATACCAGTTTGTACTCTCACCAACAATGGAGAGAGGTTCTTTTTTTCCCATAGCCCCTCTAGCATTTGTTATCATTTGACTTCTTGATGATAGTGTTTCTTTTGGGAGTAAGAATGTTGTTAGAATTTTCATTTTTCAAATGACCAGTAATGCTGAACATTTTTTCATGTATTTATTTGCCATTTGTAGTTCTTCATCTGAGAAGTGTATATTCAGCTCAGATGATAATTTTTTGAATTGGTTCTTTGAACTTTGGCTAATGATTTATTTTTTATTTTTATATGTTCTAGATGGAAGTAATTCGTCTGAGTGATAGTTGGGTAAATTTTGTTTTGGAATTTGTGGGTTTTATTTTACACTGTTGATGATTTGTTTTGATGTGCAGAAACTTTTTAAAAAAGATGAGATCTCATTTGCTGATTCTTTGCAGTATGTCCTGTGCAGTTTTGTTTTTTTACTCATAAACTCTCTACCTACCCCAATGTCTTAAAGAATTCTACCATCTTCTGCAGCAGATTAATGTTTCTGTTTTAACCAGATTATTATATTCTTTTTCTTTTTTTTGGTGGAACCAGGGATTGAACTCGGGCCCTTTTAATTGCCAGGGAAGTGCTTATTCTACTGAGCCATCTCTCCAGCCATGTTTCTGTTTTAATATTAAAATATTTGATCCATTTTGACTTTACTGCATGGTGATAGACATGGATCTAATTTACTCTGTGGCAAGTGGAAAGTCAGTTTTTAATGACACCATTTATTAAAGAAGATGTCTTTCTTCCAGTGAATATGTTTGACCCCTTTCTCAAAGATAAGGTGGCTGAGTGTGTTTGTAGTTGTTTCTGCATCTTCTAATCTGTTCCATTATCCTCAGCTATGTTTTTTGCCCATACCATGTTGATTTTATCAGCATAACATTGTGGGGTTTTTGCTTTTTAAAAAATCCATTTTAATGAGAAAAAAAGATAAAGGAGCAATGATACACTTTTATTTTTATTTATTTATTTTTTTTAATATTTATTTATTTTTATTTATTACATTTATTTATTGTGTGTGTGTGTGGCCAGCTCAGCCCACCAGGGGGCGGG